TTCGCCCGTAAAAGGTGTCTGGCCGGGTTAGAGTCTACGGCTTCGCGTGTTTTGGCTCCAGATTTCTACGCGGAGCTGGAGATGAGGTTCTCTTTTTTTTCTTTCTTTTTTTTTTGATCAATTTAGCCTCTTGATCTTGCAAGCTTGCACGGGCAAAATAACACATTTTGTGAAGAATCAACACATAAAACGAATCATCAGATCGTGACAGTATTTACAGAGTCTGTCACTCAGTAGGATCACTGCACTGTGCAGGTTCACTGGATGCGTGCCTCCGCCGCCACTACTGCACTACAGTGCGTTTTTTTATAATAGACTCTGAAAACCTTGAGAACGTACTCAAGGACACTTTTGAGAAAATGTCATGCGAGTTGCGTCACGAAAATCTGCGCGCGAAATTCGAAAAACCAGGTGTGACTCGTGGCATTTCGCCATCTTGTTCAGAGTGTCCTTCGAGCTCCTTGCCTCGTGGCCGGAGGAATCATTTTGTTGCTGACTGCTCTGTGGCCCTATTTTGCTTTTTCTCGAGTGTCTTTTCGTTCGTGGCAACTTGTTCTCTCGACATGCCACATAATTATAACAAAACGCGAACGGGCCATGGTACATGGTGGTGTCTGTTTTACAATTTGTTGCGAAGACGAGGAGAACAATGGCTGGGCATCGAATTGGTCCCAAGTATTCCATTCGCCATGCTGCTGTTGCGTGTGGCGTCAGCATTTCCACCATGAACAGATGTACCAGGGATGCTGACGGCGAAAATCAGCGTGCTGCGTTGGCCTTGTCTGTCTCCAGTGATGAAGGCAACGAGAGTGACAATCCCCGATGTGAGACTCGTGCCATGAAACCACTCAATCCTGACGGATTTGCTTTGGACTGTATAAGAAATAATTTACGGATTCTATGCTGCGAAGGAGGACCCAACACTGGACAAAGTTCCTGCTCGCTGCAGAGAAACCATCGACGATTTTCCAGACATGAGCAAAACTAGCTCTTGGAAATGTTGCGTTCCATGGGATTCCAGTGTGGCAAGACCAGAGGTATCACACAAATAATGATGGAACAGCACAGGATTGTGTCATGGCGGCATCGCTACCTGTGAGACATACCTGGATGAGACGTGGGTCAATGCGCGTCACACAGGTACTAGGAGGTGGTACGACAATGGTGACAGGAGTGTATAGGCAAGCAACCAAATGAAGCACCATCAGGTAAAGGCAAGCGCGTTATTGTTCTGCATACTGGTGGACGGGACAGATTCGTGAAAAACTGCGCCGATGTGTTCGTGACTGGAGGCCGGCGCCAACGATGATATACGTCGTCGGCTGTCCGAGCACATCTGTTCACTGTGTAATACTGTCGTCACAAGTGAAACACAAAACACGGAATTATTGGGGCCGTTTCGTTCCTCGCTGGTCTTCTACTATTCGCAGATGTTGAACCAGACACAACTGTGACCTATTTGCATTGTGTGTGTTTGTGTGTTTGTAAAACTGCTCATGCTTCCTTTTTGTTAGTCTCTTTATGGGAGCTGTGTGAATTGCCTTTGTGATTTGTTGTGGTGTTTGAATTTTCACTGCATTCTTTCAGGGATCGAGGGAAGTTTCCTACATGCATGCTGGAATGTTTTGATTTATTGAGCTAATTGCAATACAGGATTTGAATTATTCAGTACAGTTTGCCACAATAAGTCGTGAAAAGCCACGACTCACTGATTTCCTACAAAGGTTAGGAGAACTGCAGGCAGCAGTGCACAACTGCACAGCCATGTGCATGTACATGCATGCGCTGTACTACAGTATACCGAAAAAGAAAAGAAAAAAAAGAATCAAGATGAACTGTACTGGATTCGAACTCATGCCGGGCACCATGCAAGTGATGAGCTTTCCTGGCTAAAACTTCCGTTTAAAAAATCAAAATCCACTGAAAACCATTTAAAACCGGATTTCCAGCCGAAACCCGGCCGAATATCTAACTTTGACAATTATTATTATTCCGACTCCCAAACTTAATTTTCTTCGATCCAAGACCCACACAAACGCAGCTGTGAAGAAAAAATTTCAAATTTGGAATGAGAACAAACTAAAAAATCAAAATCGACAATGGTCTGTTATAAAAAAACGCACTGTAGCACAGCAGGGGACTCAGGCACGGCAGGAGCAAACAATTTACATGCTCCTTGACGGCTTGAGCCACGCAGGCACATAGCACCACAGCGCACCAAGGCAAACCCAAGGCGGCAGCGCAGCAAGGAGATAATCTGCCCGTATGGCTCCTTACTCTTCTCAGCCAGGAGAGAGGCGATCCGCGTGAAAAGAGCATTGGCATGCTTGCCATAGCCACCAGAGGCAGAAAGCACAACGGGCACGAAGGAGGCATGCTCAACTTCACGTACTCGCTCTTCGTACTTCCGGCGCTTTTCCTGTTCATGGCGTCTGTAGCTAGCAGCGAGGGAGGTGGCACGATTCGAAGACGCAAAAGGGTTGAACACCCGTGCATCAATAAAGATGCGCTCGAATCGGCCACCCCACACACCACTAGCCGCAACGTCCAGCCGAGCTTGCTCCTCCGTGACAGCTGTGCGATGGCGGAAGGCCTCTCCGGTGACGGGCTGGAGGTGGGGTTCCACTGTCACGTTGTGAGCGACCTGCCTTAGAGCTCTGGCGGTGATGTCCCTGACCTCGTTATGTCGCAGCGTCGGGAAGCCACCAAACGGGCACGACAGGGCGTGACTCACATTCAGCGGCTTACTGCACACGCAGAGGCTTGGGAGCCGAGGAGGTGTCCAGCCGTACCGGAGGCACAGGCCATCCCGGAAATCTCCCTTGCTGAGTATGAAACCATGGCGGCTGAGGGGGCGGCAGGTCAGCCAGCTGGATGCACTCTTTTCAGAGGCCAGGTCGAGAACAGGGGCCAGCTCCCGGTGATCCGAGCGAAGGGCGTCAGCCATAGACTTGAACGCGCTCCGCTTCTCGGCCCGAACCGTCGCCTTGACCGTCCGGAGCTGGGTCAGAGAGTCGCCAAGAGACGACTCCTGCTCCAGCAGGCGAGACACGAGGCTAGCCGTGATCCTTCGGGATGAGGTGTACTGTTCAGCCACTGAACAAGGGTCTGCCATACCCAGTCCCCCAAGCCGGCAAGGCAGAGAGAGTAGGGAGCGAACAGTTGTCCCAGGTGGAGCCTGACCCGTGATGGCCGGGATGAGCCGACCGCTGATTGCGTGTTCCAGCGGTTCAAGCAGGGACGGCGGGATGGAGGAGGTCCGGCAGAGGAAGGACCACTTGTTTTGCAGGCCCTGTGTGAAGGCGGAGTAGGCGGCCTGTGGCTGCGATGCAGCGATGGTCGTGAGCTGCGCAACTTCCTCACACCAGGTGGCGACCTTGGACTGGACAAATTGTTCTATAAACTTATCCGTGCCCAAAGGTGCACCAAGGTGGCGGCAACCATCACACGTGACCTGCACACTGGTCCCCTCGAACATCTCGATAGCAGCTGCGTACCTGGAGGGCTTGACCAGGAGGAGTGACTTCTGGGCATTGCAGTGGTAGCCATACCCGGGACCGTGGCTGACGAGATTGTCCCACCATTGGCGAACAGGCGTTAGGTTGCCACCGGCTGCAGCATCGTCCGCATACCAGCCCTGCTTCGCACCAGGCACTGCAACTTTCTTGATGAGCGGGAGGACTCCAAGCGCATATACGGGCATGGCCAGAGGGTCACCCTGAGTGGTACCCTCGCACGATAGCAAGCACTCTCCATCAACGAATAGGCGGGATGGTTGGCGGTAGGTGTTGATTACAGCTGGCGCTATAGAGGGACAGAGGTGACGAATGTTCCGTAGGCAGGCTTCACGGTTAAGCCGGTTGAAGGCGTTCGAAGCGTCGGCGAGCAATATGGCATGCGCATCCTCCTCACGGTAGACATCTTGCATCGCATGGATGGCAGCTTCAATGCCGCACTCCTGACCGGCACACAGTTGAAGGGTGCCCGCTGCATCTTGGATATCTCTCCCGGTGACAGTGAGGATGGCTTTGCCGACAATGCGCCTGGCCACTTCGCCGATACCAATGGGTCGAACACCCGGCGACTTGTCAAGGGCTATTTCCAGATGAGGTTCTCTACGTTGTGGCACACGCAGAGAAAATGCGTACGGATTTGCTGGGTATCGATGACCTGCATGCAGAAAACTGCCAAATATGGAAGGGGAAATTCCCAGTACACATTCCACGTGACTTCTCTAGGTGAAACGTAGAGCAGAACAGGATTTCTTTACGTTACGGGAACGCGAAGAAAGTTCGCGTGATTCTTTGCGTCGCGTTCCCAAAACGTAGAGCAGAACCTCCCTTAATTAACCCCTTCTTTATACCTGGAACCACTGCAACTACCTGACTACAGTTGTAACTACATACATGTACTACAAAAATGTAAGTCTTGTGCATGCAAGTCGTTTGTAAAGTTGTGTGTGTGTGGGGGGGGGGGGGGGTCGACCGAAGACCGCACAATCATACTCGACTCTAATATTAACTCGACTCATACTGTGACATAGCGTACACGCGCATTACATGCTCTGCCTGTCTCGTGTCGTCAGGTTGAGCATCTATCCGTTTTTGTTTCGCTCTGTAAAGAGCACTTAGGGTTCCCTGTAACAAGACGGCAACGTCTGTAGGGCCTTCCCTATCAAAATAATAAATTCTACTACTACTACTAGTACTACTACTACTACATGTACATGTAATTCATAGGGTATACCGGTACCCTGTAAAAAGGCCCTGGCCTAGCTAGGCCTGTGGGACTACCCTATTCAAAATTTAATAATTATAATAATAATAATAATAATGTGCGCGCGTCGACGGTATCTGTCGTCATCGCGTGGAAAGCATCTTCGAAATCACCATGGTCACCAACGAACGACGTCATTGAAATCATTTTCCGTCGCAAAAATATGCAGTGTTGTCTTCGAGCCAGAAGGATCGCGATATCGATCGATCGATCGGGTCTGCAGTGCAGAGGGGATCGGGAGCTGACAAAATCATTCCTTGCTGAGGTTGAGGAAGAAAAATCAAAAGTCTTGGTTCACGTTTGCGAGGAGAATGGCGTTGTCTTTGTCGCTTGCCCGCCGCAGCTTGGCCACTGGCCTCAAGAATACCCTGCGTGTGCGCAGCGCGGTAAGACTTTGCTCAAGATCCAAAAAACTGCGAGACACGGCTCCTAAACTACTTGGTTGCTTCGGTGTTATTACAGACCAGCAGTGTCACTGAGGCTGCCCGAGATCTGAATGCAGGCAAGGTTCCCACCTACGTATCCGCGTACAAGCATGGCAGAGTTCCCGAGAAGAATGACTGCCTAGCATTCAGAGAGCAAGCTCAAATTGAGATGGTAAGTACATTTAGATGCATGGTGGGGCTGATGCTTATTTTGAGTTGACTTTTATGTTCGTTGAAAAGCGGACCATTTTTCTTCTTCATGTATGCACATGTACCAGCAACTCGGTTAGGTAGCAGCGTTACTGCTGTATACCCGTACAGTGATGCACTTAGCGATTGCACTGGTTGTCTTGTGTGCGGGGGGAGGAGGTCATGACCACACATCACAAGATGGGAAATAATCAAATTGTTCGTAAATCCCTACCCAGTATGTAATCTACTGGAGCAGCAGCAGCTGCACATGAACTTTTAACAAGTGCACGGGCAGTGATCTTTACCATTTCGGACATTTGCTGTGTCCAAGATCATGGAGCACATCTTCATGAGAATCACCTGATATAATTGTGGCGCCTACATCAACCTGGCTTGGTGACTGTCCCTGGAATGCCGGAACATGTGCTACGGTGGTATTCGAGGATGGAGCGGGGCCATGCCCAGTGGGTTGTTTTGAAGTCATAAAGGCAACCAGTGACACTACACATGTACTGGATGAAGTAAACCGAAGGGTGACAGTGAACAGTGACACGTAGGCGTGTAAGACACACGTGCGCGCGCACACACACACACACACATGCACATGCACACACACACACACACGCGTATACGCACACACACACACACACACGTATACGCACACACACACAAGCACACACACATGCCTGCATACCCGCATATGTGTAGTCTTTATATAGTATTAAATAATCCAATAATAGTACACTAGAACACGGTGTCCTCCACCTTGTTTCATGCTCTCAGACCAACAACATATGTGTTGTACCACGAGAGCGCCCTGTCCCGCGAAAGGGCAATGCCTTGATTTCACGCCCAGGGAAGGGAAAGTCGTATGGCAGAGTGCAGCGAGTTTGTACGTTGTGAGAATCTTGGTGGACTAAGCTCACATTTAGCAATATTTTGGTGTGGGCCTCGTATCCGCTCGAAGGTAAACCGTGTACGGATTGACTGCACAGCGTGCAATGTGTGTACGAAGTACATGTCGTATGACCCACAGACAGTACACCACCAACGAAACGCGGCCACCTTTTTCGAAGCTTTGTCTTTGTAAATATGTCTGAGTTTCTCTTCTAGTTGGATGCATCTACACAGCTATCCCACTGCGTATAATTTGAGTGCAACACATACTTCTTACCAACCCAACACAGTTGCGTTTGTATAATGCGAAAGGCCTTACAAGATCATGTCATTCGTGGAAAGCCCTAAAAGGTGATGTCATTGGATTTATGCAAACAGTCCATTGGTGTACAGATGCTTGTGTTTATATTTCTTTTAGTGGCAATTTAGACTTAGTGTGGTCATGAATAGTGCTGGCTTCATGCACCGGACATTCAACTCTGTTGCCTTGTGCTGAGTCAGGAAATGTCTTCATACCTACAGTTGTGCTCGATGAAATCCGACCCAAAGTGCAAAACTGGCGCCCTGTACCAGTTGCGATTACATCATTGTGTTTGTACATGTGTACGTCCAGCCACATTAGTACCACTTCCAGGGCGTCAAGGGCCGTGCAGATTGAGGGCGCCAAAGGTGCACTCTGGGTCGGATTTCACCGAGCGCAACTGTACTTCCATGTGCTTGTACTATTTGAGGGCTACCCAGTAACCCTATCTGTGCATACCGCTACTGGGTCGGGTCCATGACATCACCTGGTTGATGCTCGCATGCCCTATGTGAGGTGGCGCATATTTCTCTTTTGCGCAAGCACTTGTCCACACCTCAAGCTAATGATTGTTTTTGCAAGAGTGCATAAACAAGAGTGGCACGGCTCCGCAGCTCGTCTAGTCCACGATGGATTTTTTTTGTTTGCGTCGCATTTTTTCAGAACCTGTGACGCATGTTGTAAATAGCAAGCACGAAGCTTGAGTGCCAGGCTTCACCACGAGTTTGCCGCGTTCAATTTTTTTGAAAGCTTTTTCTCCTGCGCTTGTAGCTGTTTAGGGGTCATCAGAGAAAATTGTTGTTGTCCCTGGATCGAACGTCGTTCATGGAGAGGGGGGGGGGGGCAGAATCGCAAGTCAACCGATACCTTACAGTCATGTACATGCATGTCCGGCATAGTAAGCTGCATTCATTTTGGACGGGGGAGGGAGACCGTGTATGAAATAAGCGATGTTCATTTCAGGTACAACAAAAACAACTTTTGCGACAACCCCTTATCGTACTTGTAGTGCAAGTTAGTTGAATGAAACCCGGCCACGTTCACGTGGCCACAGACTCGTAGCGCATGCCTCGTGCTGTATCACAGTATGACTCATGATCATGAGTCTTTCTTTTTTTTTAAGGAAAAATTTCACAGAAGCCTTCAGTTGCTACAGCTTCTACTTCTTTTTAGTCCGATTATGAATGGAATCAGAACGAATTTCATAATCTTCGAATACAAGTACAAATTAGAATGTAGGATTGCGGCATCTTTGTGTGCCATCGTATCCTGCACATGTCTGGTCCTCTTTCTCTTACTTCAACCCTCTTTCTCTCTCTCGCTCTCTCTCTCTCTCTCTCTCTCTCTCTCTCTCCAGGACTTGGTGAAGGCGCACGGTCTCCACGAGGCCTCCCCGTACAAGGGGTTCCAGAATTTTTATTGGTCCGTTTTTGCTGGTTGTGTCTTCATGTACATCGTCTGGTCTGTGTGGTTTATGAAGGAAATGCGTACTGACTACCTGACTGAGCTCCACAAAAAGCAACTGAACGCCAAGGCCAGAGGTGAATTCTAAACTATTGCGCTCTCTATCTCTCCTCTTCATCCGCTAGTCTCTCTATTGTGTATATACATACAATGTGGAGTAATTGTTGTTCACGCTAGTACTGGTATGTTATGTTCGGCTGTATTTCGTTATTTGCTTGCGGCCGGGAATTGGTTTTAAGCAACTGAGCGGTGACTTGCTTCGCTGCTACTTAGCCTGTGCGTGTGTGTGTGTGTGTGTGTGTATTCTCTTCACATCGCAATGCCCATGTGCATTTTCCAGCTTGAATTAATATTCATTAAGCCATTTGTGTGTAGGAAAGAAAAAACTTTTGAAGCTAAGTGTACGGACGGGCCTTGTGTATCGATTATAAGGCAATATGCTTATGCCAGTGGGTTATGTACTCTTGCTAGCACCCATCAAGTTTGGATGGCCAAAAATTCAAAATCTGATATGCAGCTTGTACTCCGAATGTCAAAAAAAACATGAAAATGGCCTTTCTGCGTGTACATGTAAAATGCACCTTACAAAGTAGACATTGGGCAGCCGTACCAGGGAGTCGTAAAATACCGGGAGGCGACACGAGATGCACAACCGCGTCGGATGATTGCCTCAGCTCGGGCACGAGTGCTGAGACCTCACGCGCTGCATGGCGAGGGACTTCCCATGAGGTCAAAGCGGCGCAGGTCATGCAAAAGGACGCGTTCGCTGTTTGGTCCAAAAAATTTGAAAACTCAATAAAATTATCCTGCACACAACGAATCCAGTGTCAGCAGTTCGTTTTGTTTTTCTAAGTAATAATACTTTGTGCCTTGGCCTTCGAAGTAAAGGATGATGGAGCTTGACAGAGATGACTGCCAAAGTGATGAGTCCACCGTGGAAGATGTAGATGACGCCACGTATTCACTTGGTGACCTGAGTTGTGGGGATGTTCAGCTGTGGGCTACAGGTGAGATTCTTTCGTTTGCATGTTTTTGTTTCTTCCTTGTGGACACGAATGTATAATCTGTAGCATACCTAAGTGCCCGAACTGACCCGATAAATTAGGTGGTCGACACCATCCTTTTCATCCTAGTCTGCCCACGATGCATTGTCTGTTCACTGTGACAGGATATTTATTGAAGTCCTGAAAATTTACTTGTGTACCTAGTATGTATCATCACCGTAGATGATGTAAACCTCCATCCTCAAACCATACTTTGTCTATGTGCAGATCGATGTAAGAGTGGTAGTGCCATCATGGTGTACAGGCCTATGGAAGGTGCAGTGATCCATGGAATTTGCAAACTGCTGACAATGAGACAGGCGAGTGTTACTGAGGCGACGGAGTCATTCCTGCATGTTATTATGACACGGTTACACAAGGCATCAGGTACTGCAAATCTGCTACGCCAGGAAGTGTGCCAGCTGAGTGAAGGCATGCAAGGGTGCTGATATTTCGCAAGCATGGCAACAAATGCTGTCCGTCATCGCAACAGCTATTCCCGAAGTGAAAATCAATTGTGAAGGTCAGTGCGTTTTGCATGCATGTTGGAAAAAATTGGCTTCTGACTAGGTATGCAGACTAGGTATGCAAACGCTGGCTTTTGAATACTAGTACAGTCTCTGCAACCACCAGTCCTTATATGTTGTCTTTTTCTTTTCTCTTCTTCAGATTTGGAAGTTACATCTGCAGTGCTAGCGAATCTGATAAGCTACCTGCATGCCACGGCTGCCGCTGCTATCAGGAAAGCGTCAATAGCACCATCCAAAGCTGCTGAAGCCATCCCCGAACCGGTGATTGACAATTTGTCTCACCTTGCTGAAAAGTACCATGGTGGTTGGTGCTTGGTGGCCGTGCGGCGTGAGCTGGAAGGAGCAAGGTGTCGCAACGACAACTTGCTGCAGCTTATACCTTTATTTGGCAAGGATGCCATGCCGTGACAAGCCTTCAGCCTTGTTTGGAGAATTCAGGTGGCCCGGCGTGGCTCGGAAGCTCTGTATAAGACACCATACGTCACAGATAAAAACAACTGAACCAGTGATATGTGAATTTTGCGCTTGTGTGTGTGTGTGTGTGTGTGTGTGTGTGTGTGTGTGTGTGTGCTTCTGTGATAAGTGGTATAAGCAGTCCACAGGGTATTCACCTTGAGTGCATTCGCCGATAGTGTGACTTTCGTCGCACAGAACCTTCTTCAGTTGGTCAGGTGACTCGCGTGGCTCGGAAGCTCTGTATAAGACAAAATACGACACAGATAAAAACAACTGAACCAGTGATATGTGAATTTTGCGCTTGTGTGTGCACGAGCATGCATGTGTGTGTGTGTGTGTGTGTGTGTGTGTGTATGTGTGCTTGTGTGTATGCTACTGTGATAAGCGGTACAAGCAGTATACAGGATATTGACGGGTATTCACCTTGAGTGCATCCCGCCGATAGTGTGACTTTCGTCGCAGAGAACTTTGCTCAGTCGGTGAGGCGACTCGGCCTTACGTTTCCTGAAGGCAATGTGTTCAGAACAGTTATGAACAGCTATGAACAGTTGAGAAATGACAAATATTGTTTGCAGTTCATGGGCCATATAGATGTGAAACACTTTGAATGCAGAAGAATGAGGATAGTGGCATCAAATACTGCATGGATTCTGTTTGATATGCTACTTTTTTTTCCCTTCCATGGAAAGGTGAGTACATCGTCGAACTTCATCTCGAAACTTCACACAAACCTAGAATGGAACTTGGACAACATGAAGGGGCCATGGGCATGGTGTGTTTAGTGGAGAACTATTCCGAAAACAGGGTGTCATTCGCATTGACTCAATTCAAATTTGAGTACATTTCGTGAATAACTTACCTTGACATTCCGTCGTCTCCAAAGCAGTGAACTTCCAAAAAATAAATAAAAGCCACGGCTCAACCTAAGGTAATGCGTGGTACGTATCAGAAACAACCAGCTTTCGCTCTGGAGATCCAGAATAGCCTCGAAGCATATAGCAAAAACAATTGAGAAAAAGAAGATGACGACGACGTTTCAATCACGCTTCAAATTTCGCGGGTCGAGTGCGGCAATCCTCGGATCGTGAAATGTGTGGCGTGTCGCCTCCCGGTATTTTACGACTCCCTGGCCGTACCAACACAGGGTTTTTTTACACCCTACCAGGGCCTGCTGGAGAGCCGGGTCACGCGCCCGGCTGGGGAACTGCACGACCTGGCTGGACAGATAACACCGGGTCCAGTCTGACCTGGCTGAAAAATGTCTCGAACTGACAATGGATTCCTAAAATACCGTTATTTTACGACTCGCGGACCCCATCTGGTATGTAATCAAGCACGCTCAGGAGGTCGTGATGGCTGAATCTTGCCCGAGCCTGCAGCCCAAGGGCCGTAGGCACGAAGGCTGCAGGAAAGGGCAAGATTCAGCCATCATGACAGAGCGTGCTTGATTTGATTTCTTACAGCGCGAAGCAACATAGAGTGAAACCTGTCTGAGGCTGTGTTTACATGAGAAATTTCAACCCGGGTCGAGTTCAGCCCGGGTTGAAAGTCTGTACGATAGACAAAAGAGGTGAGCGTTTATGTTGTGCGCGTTCTGTCGATTTGGAAAATCGATCGATTTTCTTGCGCGATCTGTCGATCGACAGATCGCGCAAGGATCGATCGATCGGAAAGCGGTGGCGAAACCATTCAAAACAAATCGATCGATTTGGAGCAGCTCCGAAACGTCGTACAGTGTATGTTTAGGACTTTGGTGAACAGCTTTTCAAATGAAAGAAACCAGTTACGGTACCTTTTCTGAGTGCAATCTTCTTCCCCAAATAATTCAAAAATCAGTTCCTTCCGAAAATTCCATCGTGCTGGACCTCGAAGCTGAACGTCATAAGCAAATAGTCAAGCCGTGTGTCGTCTGGATATGCAGTTGTTTGTCATAGCCAACATTCTTCTGGTCCGTTCGTCCTGCCATTTTCCTGACGATCGCAATGAATACGAGCAGCTCTCATGCTCAGGTTAGTGTTTATTGATCTGTCTCTGCACCCACTGCAAGGTATAATTTTTGTGATGCAGCCACTAGCCCATTGTGGAAGTAAGGGAATCACCCAGGTTCTTCGGATTCTCGTCCTGTCCGAAAAATCTCCACGTTTCAACTTCTCATCTTCCCCTCAGGCATGAGCTTGCATATTCATATTTTGTGTTTGCTTTGACAGTGCATTTCATAGGTATCGTTCAGACTTTTAGGGCCCTGTAAAATTGGTGTTTTCCTTCCCGACAGTGATAATAATCGCAATCTATAAAATACATGCGCAGTCATTCTATAGTGTGATAAAACACAAGTGTAACTGTAAGAAAAGAGAAAGAGAGAGGGTGAATAAAACAAACATATGTGCAAAATACAGTTACGGTGCTAAGGAAAGAATGTGGATGCCGTGACATGTTCTTTCTGAATGCATCGGTCTGGCTTACGCTTGTGAATGTAAACAGCATCTATGACTTTTAACTGATTGAAATTCTTTGCAAAACAAACAATACTACAATTGTAAACCGAGAATCATTATACGCCAAACGACACGGGTCACTGAACAATAAATGCTTAAACCCTGCCGTGTTCTTCTTCTCATCGCCAACCTCCCCTTCATCTTCATCCTACAGCGTAAAATGAGTGAGGTGTGGTTTGAGATATGGTTGTTTTTTTAGTTGCCGTGAGAGGGAGAGACAGAGAGAGAGAGAGACAGAGAGAGAGAGAGAGAGACAAAGACAAAGACAGACACACAGACAGAGAGAGAGAGAGAGGGAGAGAGTGAGGCTCTGTCGTTCTGGAGATGTGTTGGCGGTTTTCTCTTTCACCTCTCTTTTCTCTTTATAGTTTTTCACTAATTCGTCATTCAACCCAGAGCTGTGTTTGTTGGCTGGTCGACCACAGGATTTTGTGTGGGGTTGTTCTGGAGTGTCGGACTTTTGTTGTAGTGTGACTGTTACAGTCCTGAAACACATGCAGTAGACACACTACTATAAAATACACTAAAAATGTACAACATGCGCACATTTCCTGGATTGATCAGTGTGGATCGATGGCAATACAGTTGTAGTCTGTAAGCAAACAGCGCCATTTTGACTAGGTGAAGATAGGTTAACCGGTTATGTAACCGTTAAGAATACACGAACAGTTAACCATATGCATACAGGGGCGGATCCAGGGGGGTGCGAAGGGTGCAAATGAACCCGTCAGGATTTTTCCGAAAAAAAAAAAAAAGGTCAGGCCAGGCCAGGCCCAGGCTCGTTGCGCGGATCCGCGGATGATTTGTGTGCAATCACGTGATCAGGACGTCAGGACAACGATCGACAGACGACACTTTGGAAATGCTGCGCACCAAAGTAGAAGAGAAGCACAAGGAGTGGTACGAAGCTGTGCAGAAGGTTGCTGATGATGCTGGCATCGAGTTGAAGGCACCTCGCGCATGTGGGAGATCAGTCCATCGGGCCAACCCTACCGTACCAGGTGCATCAGCAGAGGACCACTTCCGCATCATCATCACCACGCCTTTACTTGATTGCCTTCTTCAAGAACTCCACGCTCGCTTCTCCGATGCCCGGAGCGCAGCAGCGTCTGGTCTTGTGGCAGTCCCAGCTGTCATGAAGAAGACAACAGATTGGAAGGCCTCCCTGAAACGCTTCATCGACCAGTACAGCGAAGACATGCCAGCATCTTCATCTATTACGTCCGAGCTCGACAACTGGTGGGTGAAGTGGAGCCGCGTGGGTGAAGACTCTCTGCCCTCCACTGTTCAAGCCGCACTCCAACAGTGTTGCAAGCACACTTTCCCCAACATCTTCGCCACACTAGCCATTCTAGCTGTGATGCCGATCACGTCTTGCGAGTGTGAGCGAAGCGTGTCGGCCCTGCGTCTCCTTAAGACCTACCTCAGGAGTACAATGGGACAGAGTAGACTAACCGGGCTAGCTCTACTCCACATCCGCTACGACTTGGCTGTTGATGTCACTGACATCGTCGACATGTTCGCCCTCAAGCACCCACGGAAGATGAGGATGACCAACATTCTCCAGGATGCGGAGTGAGGAATGGAACAGCCGCCCTGAATTCTGACTAGAGTTGACATTGTGTATATAGCATGTACATAGCATAATCTGTGTCTGACTGAGAATCATACCGGTAACAGTCGTAAATTACTTGTAAATTTTGACATTCAATGTGTAACTAATCATACTACTCATCTTGGTGCTATGTGTAATTATGACAGTAACACACACATAACATACTATGTCTTTGGTTTACTACTGCAAAAGAAAATATGTAAGTTTCATCCTCGCACCCCTCAGCTTTGGGGTCTGGATCCGCCCCTGGCATATGGGTTAATCGGTTATTTTCTTTCAATGTCCGCTGTACATAATATACGTGACAGCATGTGCGTACCCTGTCAGTACTGTGCACAATGGATGTACGGCGTGTATCTCCCTCATCTCTGGGGTTGCTCCCCATATTAGTGATGCTTGCGTATGCTCATGATGAGGTTGAGTTGATTAAATGACAAGGTGATGGTGCAATCCGAAGCCCAATGGAGCATACAAAATATTAAAATATGTTGAACCTTTCGTTCAGAAAGTAGTGGACATTCACGCAACTGCATTGTAAATATAAAGGGGGTTTGTCAACTGGCAACCGCTCTATTTAGTTGTTATTCACTCTTTGTTGAACCTGCTCTGGAAAACTGAGCAAAATATAATATGCATCCACTATACATATTGTAAACAGTTTCGTCTGAGACAAAAATGCGATAATACTCATAATACTCATAAAGTATACTTGTGAAGACAAAAACTTTCAAGACGTTTGTAATGAGCCTGAAATGTGTCCTTTTATGAGTATTATACATATTGTAGTGTTTGTTTTGGCAGTGCGTGAGGTCATGGTACCATGGATACATGGATTTACAGTCATGTACAGCAATGGTACATGAATACAGGCTACATGTACAGTTTATCTCTTATAGGTTGTAGCAAGAGTAGATAAACAAGAGTGTGCAACTCTGGATCTCTTCTGCACAATCTGCACATACCCCTGCCTGTGGCAGCATTTTTTGTAGACGTCACCTTTTTTCAGAAAAACGCGCATTTTGACGCAGAACAGTGTGAGAGCACGTACTGGGCACCGACCTTGTAATGTAAAGCCCGGCCAAGTGCACGATGCAAACTTTCCAAAAGACCCGCAGCGCATGCGTCATAGAAAAGATTACGTCAACAAAAAATTCCGCCACGGGCCAACCCATCCCGGAGTTGCACACTCTTGTTTATCTACTCTTGGTTCTAGCCTATAACCTTTTGGTTAACCGCAGCCCTAACTTTGACATTATATGGTTTATATTATGTGCCCAACTCGCTATAACATGGACCTCTCTAAAGCATAACACTTGCCGTACCCCAGAGAATATATAGTGAGGTCTCGCCTGTAAGATGAAGTGTGATACCTAGTTATTGCATACATGTACATGTAGGTGTGAACATCATTATAATTGAATTCACGAATCAATTTCATTTCTTGGAGCTGACTGCTTTAATGTCCTCCTCGAATCCCTTCGCACTTTTCCAGTTCATTTCAAATGAAGTTGCAGGAACTCAATGAATACCTTGGGCACCATCTAAGGCTGCGTATACACGACAACGCTGGGGGTGAAAGCGCAACTAAATCCTTTCGGATGCATAGACGGGTTGCCAAAGTCGCCTCCGGGGATCCGTTCCCGAGGTGGCTCTGGAGAACACGGATGTTTGAATCGATTTTTCGGGGCAGAGCGACAAGTTGTTTTTCCTTTTTAACTTTAGACGTATGTTTCCTTCCCTTTGGTACAGTTATTTGTAGCAACCGGGGATGGGTCAGAATGATCACTGTTGTGCTGTGGGTTGCTCGACAAGGAGAGTGAAAGGAAAGAAGATCAAATTTCATTTTCTCCCTCGTAAGCCGACAGTGCGAGCCATTTGGCTCACAAGAATCAATAGAAAGGATCTGGTGCCATCCAAGGACACTTGCTTGTGCTACAAGCATTTCCACAACGGGGAGAAATCCAAGGACCAGCCATATCCGGTATACTTCTCTCACAAGTCGTATCCTTTGTGTAGGAAAGCTCCAGAAAAGAGACCGTTGAGAAAATGTCCGAAGTCTAAGCCCAAAAAAGCCAATGCCAATGCCAAGAAACCAAGTCTTGCTGCTGCTGCTGCTGCTGAGACTGATAGTTTTGCTGATGCCACCAGTGGTACGGAGACCGATCCGGCCAGTGCTACGGATGCTGATGCCACCAGTACTGCAGAGGCTGATACTTCCAGTGCTACGGTGGCTGATACCGCCGGTGCTATGGAGGCTCATGCGACCAGTGACCAGTGCTGAATGCGCTGCCGCTGCCAGTATAGGCAGCCCTGCCGCTGTTCCCCTTGTGGCTGAGGCAGTTGGTATGGATGTTGCTGCTGAAGCCAGTACTCTTGGCACTAGTGCAAGTTCTACTTCTGACCCCCACGAGATTGGCGCTGCTGTTAGCATTGTTGACGGCAACACGGGCAGTCACAACGTGAATGGTGGAACTACCGGTATTGAGGAGCAGCTTGAACTGTGCAAAGAAGAGAATGCACGTCTCAGAGCAGAGAAAGCTGAGCTTGAGGCTATTGCTAGTAAGCCGTGCAAACCAGGCTGGGTACTGGAGTCTGATGACACCGTGCACTACTACACTGGTCTTCCTTCTGTTAAGGTATTTCACTCTCTGTTGGATTTGATATTGCCTCACCTCAACCAGAAAGTAAAATCTGGACGTCCACGCCAGCTGCAGCCCGCCGATGAATTTCTTCTTGTGCTGATGCGTCTCCGGCTTGGCTTGCAGATAGAGGACCTTCAACACCGTTTCAGGCTGAAAGCAAAGTCCAGGGCAAGTAAAATTATAAAGAAATGGATTCCACTTCTGGCTTGCGCATTCAAGCCCCTGCTCGTGTGGCCGTCTCGTAGACGTGTGCTGCAGTGCATGCCAGCTGCTTTCAAGGCGCAGCAGACATACAAGAATGTACGTATTATTCTGGACTGTGCCGAGTTCGAGATGGAGGCACCATCATCTCTGTCTCTGAACACCATGACGTACTCCAGCTACAAAGGCAGAAACACCGTGAAGGTGCTTTTCGGTGTCACCCCAGATGGCTTCGTCTCCTTTGTTTCACGAGCATACCCCGGGTCAATATCCGACAACTCCATTACGATAAAGTCAGGAATTCTTGACATGCTCAGTCCAGGAGATGATATCATGGCTGACAAAGGCTTCACTTTGTCCAATTCGGAGCTCCAGCCGCGTGGGCTGAGAGTTGTCGTGCCACCGTTTCGTTGTGGAGCTGTGCAATTCTCAACACAAGAGGTTGAGACAACCAAGGTCATCGCCAACCTCCGCATTGTGGTAGAAAACTGCATCATGCGCACACGCTATTGCAGGTTCCTCCGGAACCGAATTCCGGTGTCGTCTGTGCGGACTGCTTCAGACATTGTCCTCATTTGTGCCGTGCTTGCAAATCTCCGACCACCAATACGCTGATTGGGTTTAGGTGGGAGCCATTCTATGTTCTACATGTTCTTTACGCCATGTAACAGTGTGAATTGGCGCGAGTGTGTGAGGACCGGTGAATGCGAGTATTCCGCCCTGTACCTCTTCGTTGTTGTGTTGCCCACGCTTCTCACCTGTTACAGGCTTATAAGCTTCTTTTTACCAGGCGTGGGCCATCCCCTGAATTCATAGGTGCCAAACATTCTTTTTTCTTTAGTTTTCTTTCTTATGATTTCTTTTTTTCTTTTTCTTTTTACCAGGCGTGGGCCATCCCCTGAATTCATAGGTGCCAAACATTCTTTTTTCTTTCTTTTTCTTTTTACCAGGCGTGGGCCATCCCCTGAATTCATAGGTGCCAACTCTTTTGGACTGTGACTGCAGATGCACATTTCGCGCGAAGTCTTTATACAGTAACAAGTGTTACGGTGTACTTCAAAGTTGTTCTTTAAAAACTAAATGCTGTGCTGCTCTATGCCTTTATGCTGAATGCTGAAACCGCTGAAGTAATTGTCTTGAGTCAAGGTGGGGTTAGCCAATAGTCTCGAGGTCAACAGAAGTTGCAGACCGAAAGAAAACTTGGCATGGCTAGAAAATATATACAAGAACACTGCGTAGATGTGCGGAACTGGAATGAGAACTGTCCATCTAGCTGACTTGTGCATGGCCGGGATACACAATTTCCCGAGCAAGATGCTGGCTGAAGAAGGTCCGTAGCTTCCCCTCACATTCATTCCAGAAATCGGGATTGAAGCTTATCCGTTGCACGAACAGGTCACCTGATGCTGCCATACAGGCAAAGTCACACCACACGCGGCCAGCACACGCCATTTGACCTTGCACTTGGTAGTGGTAATTGTGATTTTGCTTGAGGCGGAGCTTGCCGTTGATGTCCTCCAGGCAGAAGTTTGACTTCTTCAAGCTGTCAACTAGATTGCCATTGACACTTGAGAGGTATTTCACCTCTAGCAGCCCAGAGGAAGGCTCACACGACCAATCAGACACGAGTCGGTCAGGGCTGGCAGCAAGGTATCCTTCTTCTGGGTGAATATGGAGACCAGTCTCTGATATGTCCACCAACTCCTCTTGCTCCTGCTTGAAGGCAGCATACCGCTTGACAACGACTGGTTCCTTCATGCGGCCTTGCGCCAGTGATGTTACGTGCACGGGCGGATCAGTATAAAGCAGCTGCTTGACTAGGGATGACATATACCCAGAACGGCGCTTGCAAATGAGGCCAAATTTTGATGCCGTCAATCTGCATATTCGTTCCGTGTACCATGTCTCTGACTGATGCTGCTGGCTGGTGCTGTGGCAAACTTGCTCTCGCTCAGCTTCATTTAGACTAAGTGCCGTTGACAGTAGCTCACACCAAGAATCAATATCAGCAGGCGTCGGTGGCACTGCAGCACTATTGATCACGTCAAACACGACACCAAGATACTGAGGCAGACGAATTGGCCTTGGGCGAGCACTGGCGTAAAGACTCTCCACGAGCTGAGGCACAGCAGCAGGGAGGATGCTACTATCAGGTATGCTACTGTCAGGATTTCCACTCTCATCGTCAGAGGAGGAGTGGCCGGGTCGGAAATATCGTAGAAGGACCATGGATTGCTGCGAATCTACCAAGTCCGCATGCAGCTTGATATGCAAGGGGAAAGTGTCCAAAGTTGGCAAAATCTTACTCTTGTCTACGGGCTCTACAGAACTATCAGGCTTTACAGGGGTGAAATTCTTGTCCTCAACAACTTTCTGAAAATCCAGCCGCTCCATAGGCAATGTTGGATCAATGTGCCGGGTAGGTATCCCCCACTGCCTAGGTAACGACGTTCTGGACACATCCGGCTCCGAAGTACTGCTGCTCCCAGGTGCACCACCATCCAAAGAGTTAAGGAAAGCTCCAGCTGCACAAAGGTAGTGAAAAATAGCACACTGGTGACTACACTTACCTAGCCCAGCTGTACATTTGCAGGTGTTCTGCAGCAGGTCGAAGTTAGTGCAGTTGATGGCCAGGAACACCTTGTGTTTTTTATCCTTCGTCTGGCTTGCCCAACAAAATGCACTGACTACAGCATCATTATCCGCTTCAGACAATGATATTGTCACAGCATGAACAAAACCCTCCTTTGCAAACTTCTGCCCTCTCTTGAACGTTCTACCACTACCAAAAATTCTCTTTATAGTTCCAATCGTCAAACCTTTGAAAGGTTTCAGAGAGTCAAACGGCAGATCCATGCGACTATCCACACTATCGCTGCTACTACTACAAGTCCTACTCTATTCCTACACTACCACTAGAAGTCGGCAGCAACAAACAACTACCATGTACCAATACACTAAAAGGAAGGAAACGCAAGTCATGCCACAAGCAAAACAAAACACACAAACACATCAATCCATGTGTCTCTTTGCCCCGAAAAATCGATTCCGAGCTCCGCGGTCTCCAGGGCTATCTCGGGTACGGATCTCCGGAGGCGACTTTGGCAACCTGTCTATGGTTCATTTACACGGTACGCGGAGCAAAACGTAATAGTTGTACACCAAAGCGGAAGAGAACCAAAACGCTGGCCAAGGTGGAAGAATTTGAAAACGGAAATGTTCTGCCGGATAAATTTGGGTGTGTAAACAGTCGAAACGGTCTGCTGGCCTCGTTTCCGTCACGTTTGTTCCGTTTTCGGCCGTTCACACGGATCCGACAATAAAACTCTTTTTTTTTTACAATTTTCGTCATGTGACGAGTGCTGGTGTGTGGCCTGTTTTCGATTATTCCTTGAGTGTGATTGGTGCTTCCACGACAACACTCGGCACATGACGAACTTTTGCGGATCCTTTGCTCCCGTGTAGACGCGAGAAAACGATACAAACCGAGACCACCTCGGATCAGCTTTGATCGTGTAAACGCACGAAAATGAAAAAAGAAATGCGGGACTGAAAACGGAAAATGGCCGTGCGTTGTCGTGTTAACGCAGCCTCAGAAGACATTAGGCCCAGTTGGGAATGTTCCTGTATAATAAGAACATTACACTGTAATAGGAAGTGCAGGTGCCTTGAATGTACAGTCCTGCTCAATGAAATCCAGTCGTGTCACTCAAGTTTGCGCCTTGCACCATTTCGCAGCCCAGTGTTCGCAGGTCTAGGGCTGCGCAACGCCCGGTACTTGAGTGACGCGACTTGATTTCAGGATTTCATTGGGCAGCACTGTACGAAGGCAATTCTCCCATACAAACAGCATGGTGCTGCTGACAAGATGAGATTCACTAAAGTGGACTTTCTTTAGAGGATGGCTCAGCTTTTGTATACTTCTGTAGCGTCGTTCCCATGCCATGAATTTAATGATGAAATTCGTTCGCGAAACCAAGAGGCTTACATCACCTTACTATGATTGTACCTTCACTTTCTTTTACCTTTTTTCATGCAGGATTCTGAAAGCTAGAGGAATCCCACTAGCCCCAAGCACTGAGCTCGCGGCTTCCAGCCACGAATCAGGCATGGTGTATCACGACATCTATATGTTTTGCATCCATTTGATTACTAGTACCGTAAAGTACCGCCAGAGCGCCCCACTATCTCGTCCTTTCGTGGTCGTATTGTGTAGATGGTCTCCCGTCTGTAGGTCATACGACACGAACTTCGTACACATATTGCACGTTGTGCAGACAATCCGTACCTTCGAGCGGACACGAGCTCCACACAAAAACCTTCCTCTGACGTTAGTACACCATACACACTTCGTTGCATTCTGCCGTACGATTTTCCTTTCCCTGGACCCTGGCTGTAAAATCAAGGTGGGGCACTCTCGCGAGACGGGGCGCTCTGGCGGTACTTTACGGTATACCATTCACACATAACATGATCTCGCTGTGCCCATGGTGCACTGTAGACTCAACATCCCGCTTTAAAGTAAGCTTCACAATCACACGTTAATGCTCCTAACATGTTATCTCGCACTTGATGGCATTACTCTATTTCTGCCTTTAGTATTACTTGTAGACTCTACACTATCGCTCATCGCGTATTTGACTCTACTCTTTTTCACTGCTATTATTATGCTACGTTGATGCTCAATGTTAATATTGTGTGAGTCAAGTGTGCGCCCAGTGCCAGTTGACAGCCCAGTGTTCACAGCTGCACAACGTTCCGCACGGCATTCACTCGCTTCATTGGACTTCATTGAGCACCACTGTAGTATTCTGTGTTGGTTGATCAGCCCTTCTAGTGACGACTCCTGTCTGTCACTCTGTCTTGAAAGGGACTTTTCGGCTTTGTACTGCATGACCATTGTGTGTGGACTCACGAGTTACTTGGAGTACAATTCACTATAAACTTCACTATAGTAAAGCCTGCCCTGACAAGACGCCCTTGGTGCAGCGGAAACTGTCCTGATGTGACAGGACCCCGCTTGATCCAGGAATGCACTTTCGATCCACAGCACTTTGGTGCATGAAATTTTGTCCGGTAAATACAGGATTCCGCTTGGTACAGGGTCCGGCAAACACGGGTTTTACTGCAATCCAATTTCCCAATGCATACGTTTCATTGCATATGCTTCAATTGTATTTTGTGTGTACTTTGGGGGGGGGGGGCTGGGAAAGTCTACGTTTTGTGAAGCCGCTGCGACCGGCGACAATTATGTACATGACATTGAGGAGATTATTTGAAAAATAATCCCCGCGGCGCGGACATATCCTGTTAGGCATATGCATAAGTTTCATGCATGTTTGGTATGTGGATAAAGAAATGGAGCAGAATTCGAGGAATTGCCCGCCATAAGGTTTGTATGGTTCTGCCAATTTCACAGCTTTTCGAGCAGAATCTCCCACCTTTTCGAGCATTATCCGCACACCCCTATATCCTGTTTAGACGACACTTTCGGGTGATCAGCATGAACCGATGTGAACGGAACACTGAACATGGATATTACCAAGAGGGGTTATGTACTCTTGATATTACGGTGAAGCCTAACAATTTGTGGCATTTAACATACAGAAAATGATGCTGATTTTCATACATGTATTATAACATTATGGGAATATCGCAGTGAATCTTCAAAGCACTAGGTGGTCTGCACTCTACAATGTGACCTGTGCGATTATATCGGTAAATAATGTCTGCCTGTTCCGAGCCACCAATCGCACCAAAGAACAAGGAGCAGCAAAATAGAAAACAGACTACATGTATGTCCAGTATTATACCCACATCATGGTAAATAGCCGTACCCGGAACATTGAGATAATTATAACGTTACCGTAAAAGCCCGTGTATAGGTCCCGGGTGTATATAATAGCAGGCTCGATTTCCTGGGCGTATGCAAGGGCACGTGCGTTATTTTGGAACCGGGTGTATACTTTAATAGAATTAAAATATTGAAACTCTTCTCTTACTCAATGGCTGGATCCATTTCATCTTGTAGCTAAGCATGCACATTATAATACATGCACAGTATCCCTACTTCAATGAACCAGAAACAGTGTTCTCGTTCGGAAGAGCGATCCTATAAACCACATCCATCCATCAACATAACAGTAAGTACAGTCACCTTCGCTAATAACGACTGCGGATATAACGACAATTCGCGAATAACGACAGAATTTCCATGCCCAGAGCAAAGTCCCATCCCAGTGTAATACATATAATGAGACTTCGGGTATAACGACACTTCACGAATAAGGACACCTTTTTGATGCCCTGCCGAGTGTCGTTATAAGCGAAGTTGACTGTATTGAGTGTCGGTTCCTGTACTGGTCCATGCACCGAGCAGAATAATAAGTGATCCAGTGTTCATTATATAATTCCTTTGTTTGTTGAGGGAATGGAAAGGGGCCAGTCCGACGAAAAAAAATCAGGGCTGCAACGGGTAGGGGTTTGGTCGGGTAGCGGGCTCGGGTATTTTTGTCAAGTCGACGGAATAGCGCGAGCTCCAGTGTGGGGAGCAAACCCTTTCGTAATAATTATCGCCAAAGTCGCAACCATTATTTCTAGGGCTCAAACGGTTAGTCCGATTAACTGGTTGCAGACCGGTTACGAAGAATTAACGGTTAACCGATAAAGATAACGGTTACGCAGTAACTTTTCAGTCAATTTTTCATGTATCAGGTCGTTGCAAAGTATGCACTTTCGCAGCCTGTCGCACGCGTACGCAATTTCTGGGCTGTCAACTCGGTCATATCTGGTCTCTTCGTGTGAGAGTATGTATGAATGAGCATGCAAGAGAATGTACATATGTGCGTTGTACTGAATAGGGTACATTTTTTGAATGAGTATAGTCAAATAAACGGTTAAAAAAGAGTCCGCAGGATTGCCATGGCTTATAGGTTATAACCGTTAAACCGACCGTTAGCTTAGCAGTTAACCGTTCGGGGCAAAACCGTGACCGTTTGAGCCCTAATTATTTCGTACTACTATTATAGGTATTCAATAGAAACAGTTGCAAAATCCTTTAGATGAGCATGTCACAACAAAGCGTTCTGACATGCGCATCCTCAAAAATAGTCATGATCGGCTCCTCATCAAATGTCAAAATAAGCAATGATGAATGGCTGAAAGACGACATTCACGAGCTAGGTAACGTGTCACAGAGCTCAGAAATGTATAAATTCAGGGGTATAGTACCAATCAATCTGCCAGAGCTGCGGTAGAAAGATGTGGGATAGGCCAAAAATTGACCAAAAGAGTCTATCCAATTCCAGCATACCTGCCTGCACATCATCACATCAAGAGCCATTTGGCTCGTAGGTGACCTCTTTTTGGCCTCCTTGATGATTACTGATCCTCTTCTTCAATCTTCTTCACTTCCTCTTTGACTTTTCCGTCACTTCCCTCAAGTTCCCAGCTCTTCCTGGTTGTATGTCAATGGTGTTGTGAGGTGCAGCGCAGAAACGCGATGCTATCTGGTTTCAATGTTCAGCCGGATTCTACATTTATTCTCCAAGAGCGTGTTCAATCATGAGCATTATAGGTGAAGCCAAGTCGGAAACCCAGCCTTCCCTGGTGGCCCACTCTCCAAGGATAGGGCAATAAACGTACTATCAGATGTATGATGCATATGCAGGGCGCAGTCATGTTGACTCCATCATACGTGACGATGATGCCACGCGGTTCAGTGCAGCACGGCCACGTCCGTACATTGCCTCGGGCTCAGGCCCGGCGTAGCGTTTCATATGTCTGCTACTGAAATGATCTTGGAAAACATGATCACAGGTTTAAGAGAATCACGTAGCCACCACAGGTCTTCGTATAAATAGGCCGTTGGACATTGACAACTGTGCAAAGCTTCAATAGCGGCCCGGGTGATGAATTCTGCCCATACTAATACAGGCCTGTTGATTTCCCATTTGCAAATGAATTTCTCAGACGTGAATGGACGTCTTCTCACCACACATAGTGAAATACCAAGGCAAATATCACGCTTGGCCTGGTCGCTGATTACGATGGGATGTGGACTGGTACAGCTGACAGCATGCTGATTCGATCACAAATTGCAGAAATTACTCATTATTAATTTTTACAAACGAAATCCAGTCATCTATATCTCCCACTCAATGTCTGACGCCGAAAAAAGAGAGAGAGAGAGACTGAGAGTACGTAGAACTAGTGTTGACATCACTTTAGTACTTACTCAAGTCACATCAAAATCCTTATCAGCGGGCTCCAGGCTGTGGAACGCCTCCAGTGGGTCTGAATGTTCGACAACGTCAACCATTACTTCTTCAAAGAATCGTCATCTACTGTTTACTGAGTGGTGTGCGGCCAGTTGCAGTCGCCAAGTACTCGTACCAGTGCGAGTACTGATTACGATGATGCCGTTCACAAGGGAGTAGTAAAATACCTACTCCGCGCCCAGCTCACAATCGATCGATTTGGTTTCTTTTTTTTGTTGCGCGATCGATCGATTTTGCGCGATCGATCGATCGTTGCGCGATCTGTCGATCGACAGATGGACAGATCGCGCAGCAAAATCGATCGATGTGGCAGATCCATAGATGGCGCACAACATTTACATGAAGACAGTTGACCCGGATCAAATACTGATATGCCGCCAAAAGTCCACTTCTACACTCTATCTACAGTCCTGCATGGTCACGTGAATCCGTTCGCGCGAAATTTGCATCTGCAGTGCTGTTCAAACCTGGCGCGAGATACGCACAGAAGTACGTTTGTACGATTTTCTTCACCCGGGTTGGTTTCAACCCTCCCCTTGGGGGGAGGGTTGAAATCAACCCGGGGCGAAATTTCAACCCGGGTCAAGCGCAATGCGTCATGTAAACGCGCCATTCACTTTGTGCACATGGCGGGTTGAAATCTGACCCGGGTCGAACTCAACCCGGGTTGAAACGCCTCATGTAAACACAGCCTAAGGCGACCCCTCTCAAGGGACGAGAAAAAGTGGTCGCCGTGGCCAGGTGGTCGTCTTATCCAGGTTCAGTGGGTCACGTGGCCATATCCACATGTGATACATCATTTTGATCAGTGCACACACCTATGATAATATATATGCTACTCTAGCACGACTCAGATCATGTGCCTGGGCCATGGGGTCGCCGGTCCTCAGACCTGTCAAATGTCGTGCATGCACCATGTACATCTACACTTCCTGCACTGATGGGTAGATCTACCATGCCTGGTGCACCATGCAATGCATACATAATCATTTACATGACTAGCACTGTGCAACGCGGTCGCGGGTGGGTGGTCGCCTTATCCGAGGTGTTTTGAATGTGAATGCGTCCGTGACAAGGAAAAGTGGTCGCCATTACAGGTTTTACTGTATTAGCAAGAGTCCATAAACGTTTATGCACTCTTGATGTTAGGCCACACGTTTTTATTTCTATGTTTCTCGTCACCTGAAAATCTAAAAACGTATGCGAGGGGTGGAAAAAAATGAAAAATGACCGAAAAATAAAAAAGTTTATTAGACCTTTGTTCACACTAAAATCCACCAATACACCATGCAAAATAGCATCCATAGTTAGCAACTAGTATGTGGTAGGAGCTTCTGTCACAATCTGTGCATGTGCAGCTAGATTGCGCACAAAATATGCCATCCTTGCATCATGTGTCGCGCAGGCCAGGCCACAATAGAGAGGTTCCGCACTACGTAAAGTTGAGCAACTTTAGGGACCATCGCAAAAGTTCGCAGAAGCCCCCGAAACGAAGACCGTGAGTTTCGGGCCTGACCCCCCTCCCTCCCCCCTCAAACGAAACGACATTCACAATATGGGCTTCATTATTTCACTTGGATGCTGCACACATAATAATTATTATAATACCGTAAAGTACCGCCAGAGCGCCCCATCTCGCGAGAGCGCCCCACCTTGATTTTACAGCCAAGGGAAGAAAATCGTATGGCAGAATGCTACTAAGTTTGTACGATGTGAGAACCTTCGTGTACTAAGGTCACACTTGGTATGCTTTTATGTGAAGCTCGAAGGTAAACTGGGTACGGATTGACTGCACAATGTGCAAAGTTTGTACAAGGTCCGTGTCGTATGACCTACAGACAGTAATCCACCTCCACAAGGCGGCCACGAAAGGACGAGATGGTGGGGCGCTCTGGCGGTACTTTACGGTAATTATACTACACAGCAGGGGTTCATAAACCCTATCATATCATCGGCCTATGAACCCCTGCTACTACTAGTGCTGGGTTATGTACTCTTGGTGCTAGTACTAGCAAGAGTCCATAAACCACGCGTTTTATGGACTCTTGGTACTAGACTACACACAGTGTACAGGCAGCCAGCTACGCGACACGCGCATGACTACGCGTCCTGACAAGCGATCTACGCCGGCTGTGATGGCATGCTAATCTATATCAGCTCCTACATGTCGTCAATACTTTTTTGAATTGAAGCCCGGTTTGCGATTTTCGACACGACTCCCTCCCCCCCAAACGTATGCTCTTCGTTTCAGGGGCTTCTGCGAACTTTTGCGATGGTCCCTTACGTTAGTGGGCGGGAAAAACCCGTGAATTCGCGAGTTTGCACTCCACTTACGGAAAGTTGTCTACGGAGAGTACGTAGATAGGGCTCTGATAACGTAGCTGGTCCGTAAGGGTTGGTTCACATATCGCCGGTACGCGCCGGGAGTCACCGGCGGTGGGCTTCTTGCAACCTCTCCCGGCGCATTCCGATTGTGTGAACCAGTGCAGTCGTAACAAAATCATACGGTAAAATATCGCAAGGGACCGCCGGCAAAGTTGGACAGTGCCCAACTCTTGCGATCTGCCCCGGCGCCGATCCCGTACGATTTTGACCAAAAGTGGTTTGTGAACCGTTCGCGCCGGTGATCGCCGGCTTCCGGGAGCCAGACTTTGTCAAAATATCAAACCAATACTTGTCCTAAATTTTCCTAAATTGAAGCTAGAGAGGAGGTCCGTTCGCCATTCTTGTAGTCGCTTCAAGGCGGCAAATAAGTCAGGATACCAGCCCGTCCTTCTCGGATGATCTGCTAGACCATTGTGCAACTTATGAGACAAATACAATTGAAACAAATATAAAATTATAATGGATACATTGGCAAGTTCTTGTGACTTCATCAACGTTTGCAAGCATAATTTCGACACAATCGCTTACTAGACTGCAATAAAATGTGTAGAAGTAGTTTCATGATCTCCAGTAAAAGGTAGCACCGAGTGGCCATCACCGACAGACCTTGAACTACTGAAGAAACAAAGAATTCAAGCTTCAATTGGCAAACCTGTCGTAGCATTTTGGCACATTCTGTACTACTTTGTAGTAGATTTGGTACTCGAACCGTAGGCGCAACGGATCGGGAGCTGGCTCACCGCCGATGTCTTGCGGCGCCGATTTTGCTTATGTGAACCAACCCTAAGTGGATTGGGGTACAAATTTATGACTCTCTCCCCAGGTCGATCTGGTCGTACACTGCCGTGTTCGGAGTTGCCAAGGGCAGCTACGTGATTTGAAAACTCCGTATGGCGGAACCCAGATGCGCATGCAGTTTACGTAAGACTTTCCGTAGATCGACTACGTTTTTTACTAACGTAATTACGTTATGCGGAACCTCTCTATTATGTACATGTGCGTGAGTGTGCTGGTCCCCACATGCACAGTCAGTGCAGCACAGTTTTTTCTTCTTTTTTTCTTCCAGACTCCTGAATCGTATGCGCGCGGGTGACGAGAAACATAGAAATAAAAACGTGTGGCCTTAGGGAAGGTCAAAGGTCGAAAGGTCGACAAATTATTCCCGAGATGACGTCAAACGGCCCTAACATTCCTGAAATGACGTCAAACGGTCCTGAAACTCCCGAAATGACGTCAAACGGTCCTGATGGCCTGATTATGCCCGCGGCGGGAAGATCGCCTATTGGCCATGGCCCCGGCAACGATCACGTGTCGTGTAAGAATTGCAAATCTAGCGCAATCGTACACTCTACAAGCGACAGAAACTCGGCTAGGGTCAACTGGTTCGAGCGCGATCTGGCCAGCTGCGAGCAGGAAGTCAGGACATTCAAAGTCGATGGGGGCAGGCAGTCAAAAGCGGTGCGAAGAGAAAAAGAACTCACGCTTTGTCGTTTACCTTCTACGTTTGCGGACTTTGATAGTTCGCCTTGTTCTCTAAAATTTCCGATTTCTGGTAATAAATTCGCCTTTCTGTTTTCCTGCGTTTGAGCAGGCTTTTTGGTTGTTTTCTGCCGGATGATCTGACCCGGCTTGACCCGCTGGCCTGCATGCGCCAGGTACACACTGACCGGGCTGTGTTGAATGTCTAGAGCAGGCCCTACACTTTATACTGAAGGAGTAACAGTACTTAACCAACAGTATGCGACTGTTATCTCTTTTCTGCGGGAGAGGCGCGTGGCGTGCTGCCCTAATTACGTAGCGTACCATATTTTCCGGTGTGTTAGCCGCACCCCCCCCCCCCCCTATTTCCGGCCCAAAATTCGTATATTTTTTGACATTCTGAGTATAAGCTGCATATCAGATTTTTAATTTTTTGCCATCCAAACTTAATGATGGGTGCTAGCAAGAGTACATAACCAAGAGTGTGCAACTCGACGGTCCCCCAGCCCCAGCCCACGGCGGAATTTTTGGCGGCTGTTTGGGTCACTGCTGGGGTGGGAGGGCAATTACATGTATATCCGGAAGAACTGGGACTTTCCTATGCTCCCCTCTTTCTCTTGGCCCCCAACTCTAGGATATGATTTTTTTGTAATTTATTTATTTCTGGAGTCCCCCGAGGCTCACACGCATACATCATTGACACAACATGAATGAGGCATATAGAGAGAGGTGACAGTGAAAAGGAATACGAAAAACAGAGAAGATGTGGAGACGGAATACCGGTACATAACGAGTGTTTGACCCGGGACACAGCCCTACGGTTCATAATACCAGTAATTATGGCCGCAAGAGCAGAACTCTACCAACCAACCAAGGGAGAGAGGGACTCGGGCCGGGGGAAGTAATATAATTATTCCCGTAGCTATGCAGAAGACGTTACTTCAGTAACGTCTGGCGCTAGCCAGGGTCCACACAGCTTTAATTTGGTGTTTGTTTGTGTGTTTGTTTGTTTGTGTCACGCCTGGCGCTATCCTGTATCTATCCCGTACTGTACCGTACCAGCAAAGACAGCTGGCCACAATATTTTTGTTTGTTTCTGCCATCGACATGCCTGGCGCTATCCCGTACCTGTCCCGTACCATCAAGAGTACGGTACCATCAAGAGAATGAGTATATATGCGAAGTGTATGGGGGGAATGCATTCAG